CCAAGCATCTATCTCTCTATATATAGAAAAGAATGTGAGAGGAAAGAGTTTGGTGGCTTTCTCAATATTATATTTTAAATTTTCTTAACAATAATAATCATGTGTTATTACGGTATAACGAGGAAAATAACGTGATCCAACTCGGAGCATGAGATGTGAACGAAGACCATCAATACGGTTATCAAAACCACTTTAATTCTGTCAATTCTAATTATGAAAGGCACATAGTAATAAGTATATAAAAATATGATTATTAGTTTGAGGGAAAATAAAATTTTTAAACCTCATTAGTGCATTGCATACACTTATTTTTATTCTGCAGAATTCATTTTTGTAATTCTCTTAATTACGAATTTTATATTAACAATGTTGATGATATTGGATTTTTGATCGAAACTTTTTAATTCCGGAATACAAAAGATAACACTTTAAAAATCCTAATTAATTATTTTCTCAAAAAAAAAAATCCTAATTAATTAGGTTTATAAGAACAAAATATATGTGAAGAATTTGCCATTATGAACACAATTACTAGCAAAAAAACGAAAAATTGCATTATGATGTAACCTATCTATTAGTACATATTTTGTGTCAGAGATTATTTCGCAGTGAAGGAAGAATTCGGGTTTGAATGAAATGATGAGAAGCTATGAGACCAAGAGGACCGTACGATGATGAATCAGAGTTGGTGTTGGTTTGTACGATGATGGTTCAGGCACCCATCTCTCCATGTGTCCTCAACCTCTTCTCTGTCACATTCTTCCCGTTGAGTTGTTGTCACCACGTGGGACCCACACTCATCTTCTAAAATCAGTCAAAATTTCTATTCTCGCATGGATCCCACCGTCTCATCAAGCTGGTCCTAATATTCAGTATTTTTTTAATCTTCTCGCATGCAGTTAAAGTTTAATATTACTCTTCAATGTTCTGTGAAAAATATAATAATATACTCCGTAAATAGCTGCGATTCTTGGACCATTCTTCTTTTTTTCTATGACGAGTCACAAAATTTTCTTTGGTTCACAATTTTTTTTTTTAGGTCTACGAATATCTGTGTCTCTAGCTAGCACATGGTCCATAACTTTTGCTTCTACATATTTTTCAAATTTCTTGCATGTAGTTATTCAGGTTATGCGATTTACTACATCAACATCCACAATAATGATCCAATGGTTACTCAAATTAACGTTTACCAAGAGATGATACAAACTGCATGCACATAGCATTGATGATATTATACATATTTAGTTTTAGATTTAAGCATTGTACATGCTTCTCATGAGCTACCTAAGGCTTCACTTGCTAAGCCATTCTATAAAGTAAAATTTTATATTTTCTGTTGTGCATATTCCAAGCAGTTTCTTCTTCAATCCTCTTGTAAGTATCCATCACTTGGTTAGTTGAGTTAATTGACTATTTTTAATATAAACATTATATTTCAAAACCTCTAACATATAGTTACGTAACTGTAGAAAAACCCAAATCCTCAAAAAAAACAAATTAATTGGAAAAATAAGCACACAACGGAACAAATGACCATGTAAAAGCATAGATTTGTCCGGACAGTGTATAGCACATGATATCCCTAGCAGTTAAAGCTAGTAGAGACACAAAACATCGGTTTTCGTGAAAGGAACTTATATGAAGACCAAGATTTGGTCTAAAAGACGTGTATGGGTATGGATTATAGGCCTAATGGATCACACATCCACACACATAGATATATACAGCCGTATACATATATTACATATATGGATTCTATTTTATACAATATGATCTTACTATAGTCTGATATTTTGATCGTTGGTTTTTGTGACCATCTCTGTTGAGTAAATCGATATACTAACATCTCACAAATTTAGTTTGGTATTTGGGTCTAGCAATGGTGTATATAGAGATATTTTGATACACGCTCTAATTAAAATTGATTCCTATAAAATAATTGACATTTTTTTTTTGTTAAAGAATAATTGACATTATATAATGCAAGTAATATGATCACGAATTCACGATAATTTGATTAGCTATTCTGCACGGGGTACACAAGTACTGGAGATCATAGAATTGTTTTTGTTTTTTTTTGTTACAAATACAAAACAAAATATTATTATATAGATATCAAATCATTATGAGTTTATATTCTTATAGAAACTTCGCAAATCAAGGTGGATAAACGTTTTGCTTATAATTTGAAATTTAATATAACTTTACGCGTAGAATTAAGTCAAAAAAATGTTTCTCTACCATTCTACCATTAAATGTGGTGATTCACAAACAATGATTGGTATCCGAGTAAGGAATGGTGATCATTGCATTGCAATTGGATCCTCCTTGTGGCTCCCAAGTTTAATCTAACTAATGATGAGAATTTCATGTATCTCATTTGAGATATTGTATATGTCACGCACACAAAAATAGTTCGAGCTTTTTATTTCCGTTTAATTTTTTTTTTGTCGTTTTTTTGCTTTAAATTTATAACGGAACTTCTATAAAAAAGTATAGCATCTCAAATTAGAATTGATTTGTAAAATATACTATCACAAAACTACAATAGTAATTTTTATTAAATACTTATATTAAAAGACATTTAGTATGAGAATATTATAAATTCCTACATCTTTTATTATCTTAAATTTTTTTTTTTTTTTTATAAACCGTTGGAGTTCCGGATTTTCGATTCATAATCTTCTCGGTACCTGGGTCAGCCATTGATAATTTCACGTTTAAGGCGTAAATCATCCTTTCTAAGTATAGTTGAACTAGTGACCTTGAGAACTCTTTTCCAAGTCTTAAGATAAAAATATTCGATTTGTTGAAAGAGCATCTACTAACTAATAGTTTTATATATATTTTTAAAACTGACATATCAGTTTAAATATTAACTTGGATCCTAAAATTTAAGCCGTAAATCATAAGCCTATAAAACCGTGAATGTTGTATTCCCTTAATTTTACACTATTTTTAAGTTTTTTTTTTTAAATATAAAGTAAAGGATCTGTTGAGTGTTAATGAACATTCATCGAGAAAATGAATTGGCAAAGGAAAATAAACCCTGATTTTCCATCATATATATAATAACCCAAAATTTCAAAATTCCAATAGAGGAAAGAAAGAGTGATTGGTCCGCGAGTGAGAATGAGACTCGCATGGCGAAAGAAGAAGAATCTTTGAAGAAATCGAGAAAAGAGACAAAGAAACAAAAGTGGGGATCCCATAGAAGCTGAGAGATTTGAACATGTGGTCTCAGTCAGGTTTCAAGACTCGGACCAACCCACTTCCTAGTTTCCTCCTTTTTTATATAATAGTACTATATAAGAAATAAACG